ACCAATGTAAGGAGCATTCTTCCCACTGACCACCAATATAAGGAGCATTCTTCCCACTGACCACCAATGTAAGGAGCATTCTTCCCACTGACCACCAATGTAAGGAGCATTCTTCCCACTGACCACCAATGTAAGGAGCATTCTTCCCACTGACCACCAATAAAAGGAGCATTCTTCCTTCTGACCACCAGTGTGAGGGACGTTTTTCCCAATGATCCCTTAGGAAAGGCTGGATTAGATTGTCTAGTGTTCTCACCCTCCTCACAGTGAAGACAAGCAAGCCTTACCATCAAGGTACACAAGGTCTTGTAGGGCCTGTGATAGCACTGCCCATGTCAAATAGGAAAGTATAGCACTGGAGATCTTCCTTAATGCTGAGAACAGAAGCAAAACTGTAATTAGACTTTTTAATATGTCCTTCTTTAATGGGTGTGTTGATCTGTTCACAAAATATGAAAAGGTGAATTAACTCACACCTTCCTCAACCACCCTCTCTCCTCAGTGCCCGCTTAACTTATCTGTAACAATGAACTTTGCCTGCCAACCATGCCCATTGTGTAATGGTCCCGGCGCTTGAAAACTTCACCTCACAGCCCTGGAGGCTGTATAGTACATAATGTTGGAGTGACCGCATTCACCAATAAGGATCTTCTAGGATGCCGTCCAGGAAGAAAGAAGGCTCAGAAGAGATTCTTATCACGTGACATGGTGTGCTGACCATTCACCACTCCTCATTGCAAACATTATCGTTATAGAGCCCCCGGGGTTGTGTAGTGAAGTTATACCGGCTGGCATAAGCAGGGGGCGAGGGTCATCATTACAGATGAGGGCAGCGGGGACTGGAAAGTGTGGCGAGTTAGTTCACCTTTCCATTTTTTTCTTTTTTAAAGGTGAACTCACCATTTAACAAGAGTTCTTTCCAGGGAATCTGTGCCCACCAGAACCATATTAATTCTGGTCCCCCCCTGCTGCATATGCTCACATCCCTTCATTACCACCCATCTCCCTCCTCCATCCACTCATTCGACCACAAGGAACAAGGTTTCTGCCCACCTCCATGTGACTGCGCTGGTTACCTAAACAGTGAATCACCAAGGACCAGTGTTGTGATGTTGAAGGAAGGGAGTGTTTCAAAAGCTTCCTTATACCCGGAAACACTGGATGTTTAACTTCAATCCTGGTAGTTCATAAGGTTGGGGAGCAAAGGCACGGCAAGCATGTACAGCTGTTGTAGCCACCAGGTCCGATTGAAATGACCGGCAACAATGAAAGCTGAGCCAGACAAACAGCCCAAAAAAAATTATTAATGTGAACTACCTCGGCATTTTAATTCAAAGAAGTCATTTTGGCCAAGATGCCCCGGCAACCATGACCCCTGAAATCTGAAACCATTTTTATTTCTAAATAAAGCCTTCAGCTTTGGCTGACATAGGGATCACATGACTGGCAACCACTGCGATTGGTTCCCAACCATGAGTTATAGGGTCACCAGTGTTATAGGGACTGAGGTAGTTTGTGAGATATAATGTCACAACAGGTCCTCTTCCAGGGCCTATTCACGCAACAGGCAATAACACATTATGTGCGTTGGTGCATTATGAACGTCATTGTAGCACTCCTCAACCACAGTGGGGTGTCTTGTACATTGCAGCACCCTTAAAATAAATTGCAAACAGACCTTATTTTCCATGTGCTGAGGTTCCCTGATGTCTATTAATTCTGAATGGGCACACACCAACGCACACAAACAAGCGCAGCAGCACACCGTGTTGTAGTATGAATGGGCCAAAGACGGAACGGACATGGAAGAGCCCACATTCACTCCAACCTCTAAACTTGCGGATGATCCCTGAAAACATCACACCTCAATGTAAGCCGTGTCTGATTACCAGATTATCTTACACCACCTCGTGTTCTCGATTACGGCCAAACTGCTCAGCCTCTAACGTGCATGACGCCCGTGTTGTATCTGGACAAGGAAAAGTTCTTCCTGGCCAAGAAAAGTATAAGAAAGCTGAGAAAATAAATAAATGATAAGACGGAGGACCTTGGGCTTTCCAGGAGATTGCTAGCTATTAAGCCCCGGCACTGACAGGTTATGTCACAAGGCAGCAGAAGCCAGCATTGGCGTCCAGCTGTGTAAGGCGAGTATAGGCTGCAGGTTTCAGCTCTCCAGAGGCCAACTTGATCCGATAATGATTCTGGGTTGTTCTTGGCGGCAACACCCGACCCTCAATCTGGTTCATTCATACGTTTGCCTGATACAAAGGCTTTTTTCATGGAGTTCCTTACCAAAGAAAAGTGTGCCAAGGACTACAAAAGGACCCACAAAACACATATGGGGATGTGACGGGTCAACCAGTTATAGGCAGAACAATTGCATGCAGACTTCAGTCAGTCAATACCAAGACAAAATGTTCTAAGTGTCAAAAATGTCAGAAATGTTCTAGCTATGAAGAAAACGAGAGGTGTGAGCCACAATGCATGCAAGTGGAGAAATTCAAGTAACTCTATTTGAAGTTCCGCTGTTGGGTTATTCAAGGCGTCGCAAAAAAGTTTTGTGTGACATTTATAAGTTCTAACACATTACGATGGGACAAACACTTTATAAGAAAAACCTTCAAAAGCAGGCGGAGTCTAGCAGTGAGTTTTCATAGAGCTTGAGCAAAATACACAATACAAGTGCTTCCTAAAATGTAGACTACTGGGTTTTACAGTTCCCTCAACGCTGAAAAGCATAACATTCAAGAATTGATGAGACTTGTAGGATATCAGGATTGTTATACCATTATCACAAACTAGATCTAGACGGGTCACCACATTTTAACCAGCCAACTGGGTGTGCTAAACTTCCCGGCAGGCAGTGTGTCAAAGTGGATCTGAGCTCTGTAAGCTGTGCCCACAAAAGCCAAGTAGAGGGCAAAGTCACCATGTCTCTGTTTGTGAAGCAGCCATCTTGATAGAGGAGCAGGGCTTTCCTTCCTCGTGTCAAAGCTGCCAGCCCCCCACCCTGCAATTTATTGGTGATATAATTACTAATGGAGGAATAATCAAAACGTAGTAGGGGAGCTGGAGGGAACACAGATCCAGAGACTGAATAAAGCAGATAGATCATTGTAGGCCAAATTAACTGGATTGCTTTCAAGAAAATAATGAGATCTCCTTGGTATAGTCAATGTCGGATCTCTGAAGATATAAAAGTGTACATGATCTGCAACAGAAGACATGGTATACTCAACTCTCCGGCAGACCATGCCTCTTACTATCTCTCTGTTCCAGTGCTGCAGCCACCACTAGCCTCTACGGCAGTGGTTCTCAACCTGTGGGTCGGGACCCCCTCGGGGGTCGAATGACGATTTGCCAGGGGTCACCTAGTGGCTCTCGCCCGCCGGGAGAGAGACACTTTCTCCCGGAATTTGCACCAGCTACTAGCTACTGCTGCCAATCAGTAGAGGGGGACCTGAAGTTCTCCATCAGGTCCCCTTCTGGTGGGTGCAATATGTATGTATTCAAGCAAAAAAAAATTTAAAACACACTTCTAGCTATGCATTCCATTTTCCCGGTCCGCAGCTGCAGAGATAGGGAAATGTCTCAGTGTCTGTGATTAGCACTGCACGCTGTCAGCTTCCTGGCGGGCTCGGCACGTGGAGCTGCGAACACGCCCGAGCCATTCCCTATCAGTGACAGTACTGCGGAGTATGTACCTCATACGTTATGTAGCCACACACTTTAAATCCAATTCTTCTAGTTCCAGCTGCAGAGCCCGCTGCTGTCTTTGCCTATAGCAGTGGTTCTCAACCTGTGGGTCGCTGTGCAAGGTGAGAGTCCTCCTCAGCTCTCTCCTAGCCCAGCAGTGTCAGTTCTCCCGCCACGCCTCCAGATGTCGCTGCAGCAACCGCGTCATCCCTAAATTTTACCTTTGGGGGTCACCACAACTTGGCAAATGTTACCAAGGGGTCCCGGCCCTAGAAAGGTTGAGAACCACTGCTCTACGGCATTCAACACTTCCAGGAGTATCTGTGTCCTTTGTCATGTGCTGGCATTCCTTCCTTCGACCCCTTCATCACTGGTCCTTTACAATCTACAGTACAGCTCTGTTGGTGCAACCTATACAAGAAGGAGGTCCAAGGAAGGGTCTGTTTGCTTGTGTGCCCGAAAACAATAAAGTTGCCAGTGTTTAAGCTTTCTTGGGTTGTGGCTGCCTTTTTTTTTCTTCCTACAGTCATGTGATTTGTGGGGTATAGGACAAGCCCCCACCAGCATTTACAACTTGGGTCTTGAAGAAAGTTACTCAATCTATGGCTTGCACAATATAATAAATGGTCACCAGCACTCAAAGTTCTCTTCAATACAAAATCCTTTTATTCATTTTAGCAGGTCATATCACCATGCGTGGCAACGTTTCAGAACCTGCACGATCCCTTCATCAGGCATAGAGAAGGGACCGTACCTTAAAGAAAGCTATTACTTTGCCTGATGAAGGGATTGGACAGGTTCCGAAAACGTTGCCATGCATGGTGATACGATCTGATAAAATTAATAAAAGGATTTCGTATTGAAGAAAACTTGGAGTGTTGGTGACCATTTATTCTGTTCTGTTAGTATTTGGTCTTTCCTCAGTCAGGAGTGCGTTGGGACTCCCTATTTGACGCAATCTAGGGCTTGGGAGCAGCGAACATTTTTGTCCAACACTCCCTCAAGTGTCAAACATCTAAGAGGCTTACGGAGACTGCAGCACTTGAAGCGGAGGTAGGAGACATGGGCCAGAGAGGTGAGTACATTGTGTCTTCTAATGCAGGGAGCAGACAGTTTTTCATCTAAGGAGACCCGAGAGTAAAGAGTACTAAAGAGTATTTAGTAGTATTTATGAGAGTCTCTTCAACTAGAGAGAAAAGACTGAGGCTTCATCTAAAACTGCACAGCATATTGAGAAATGCATACAGGACACAGGAAGTCCTAAGAGGCCCCCCCATGTGCTCAGAGACCAGTTTTCCCCTCACCTGCTTCATGGCGAACTCTCCAATCCTCTCGGAGTGCTTGCGGATGCTTTCCAGGAAGTCCTTCAGGTCTGACATGGACACCTCTTTGATCTCCTCGCGGAGTTTCGGGATGTTGTCCACCATGATGTGGCAGAAACGGTAGTGACTAACCTGAGGCAGGTAGGTGTGTTCCAGCTGTTCCAAAGTCTTCAGTGCAGGGTAATGTCTATGTAAGGAATACAAATCACATTAAAGAACACATCAATTACAATTCCAAAGCAGGAGAAGACCACAAAGTTTAAAATAAGATTTTCTTATTTTTTCAGCCACCTCTGTGTTCTACATAGTTGAAGAGCATCTAAACCCAAAAATAAAAATGTTCCACATAGCTGCTTACCAGTCTATAGATGTGGTGGCTGCATTTGTTTTATTTTTTCAGGATTTGTCTCCTTTTTGTCACCTAGTGATCCATCCATCAACATTTTTCCTGTCCTAGGACAGGACTACAGTACACCTTGTCCACTCCTCTTTATAACAAAAATGGGAAGAAAAATGGGAAGAAAAATGGTTTTTTTGTAGTCCACAGAGAGAACCAGGAACAATGTAATTGATAAGTCTGCAGCGCAAGTAGAGAGAACAGGAAGTAATCGGCTCAATGGATTTCTGGCAGGATTTTATTTTTTTACTCATCGAATGGATATAACAAAGAGCTTTCAATTGTATATTTAACAGACCAAGGGGGAGCAAACAATAGGAGTTCATTGTTTAGGTCTAAAGTGACTCTTCCTATTCCTCAGGATATGGTAATTTCTAGGGATGTTCAGATACCAGTGCCGATTTTCACACAAACTACCGGGGTTGCAGCGGCTGCAGCTGCGACTGGTGCTCCACCACTGTCCTAAAAATCAATAGGCTTTATTGTTGTAGAAAAACGGTCACATGACACTAAGCAAAAATATATCAGTACTTGTATCTGTGAGTACTTGGACAAGTATCAGTACTTGGTCTAGTCTTGGAGCTGGAACATTATCATTATTTGTACTTAGTCTGGTCTTGGAGCTGGAACATTATCAGTACTTGGTCTGGTCTTGGAGCTGGAACATTATCAGTACTTGTACCAAGTAGGATTCTTGGTATCTGGACATGCGTAGCAATTTCCACTTTTTGTAAACAGCATCTGAACGCTTTGTTTTATCCATAACCACTCTCCCTAGTCACTGATGTATGCAGAGAGCAGGGACACATGACTGTTACATAAAGTGCAGAGGAGACCAACGAGTATGGCTTCATCTTCTCTACGGTGTGCAAGAAACAAGATGGCGGCGCACCATGCTGGTCAAGGGACTGGGGCAGCTTTTCAGCCAATTATGAATCAGTTAGTTGTTGATAAGTTGACTAGTTCAATATGAGGGCAATTGCTATTAACTTTAACAAAAACAGGTTACTTAATATAACTATTACTGCTATATCAAAACAACATACTTGCTGTAAGCGTTGTGGTAGTGCGTGGCAATGCCACGGAAGATGCTGGCGACACAGACACCCAGGGCACTCAGCCAGAGGGGCTGAGAGGTTCCAGAATGAAAACAGCTGGTCTTTCAGTTTCTTCTGGGTTTTTCTGGATTGTAGCTGGTATCTGGATCTCTGAAGACTTCTTAGAGTTCTGGGTGGATGAAATCTCCAGTCCTGAGGTCAGGTGTTGGCAGTGATCAGGTGGCTGAGAGCAGCCTCACTAAGAGCCCAGACCAGAGGTCAAGGGAGGATTTGGTGTGGGCTGTGGGCTGGAGGCACACGAGGGCCAATCCAGGTTTTTGTGTGTGCTGGAGGCACTGAAGGGACAGCCTAGGAGGCTGGAGGATTTGGTGAGGCTGAGAGAGCCAGGCACACAAGGTGTGTGTGCGTGTGGTATCAAAAGTGGCTGAAAGCTGCTCAAAAAGGTACAGAGTATTCCTAAAGAGATTCTGTTGAGGAAAACAGTAAAGCCCTGGGACTGGGACACTGAACAGGACAACCTGAGAATGGTGAGTCTGTTTACCAAGCATACTGTATGATGTACTGCTGAAGAAAGCTGTATGTTGAACTTCCTCGGTTGTCTGCTTTTGAAGAAATAAAAGACCGTCCTTTTTCTGTTAAAACGGCTCCAAGACTGGTCCTTAAGTGCTCCCCATATGTGCTAAATTCCCCAAATATCACAGCGTGTACAAATCTACAACCACCTCACCAAAACTTGGTTCTGCACTTAGTTTTACTTAGTCATATACAAATATGTATACCATTTTCACAGTAGAGTATAAAAGTAAGCAATACATAGATATACAGCGGTCAAACATTGTTGGATATTACTTTAACATGTTGTAAATGTATGTTGGGATAGTTCTGTATATGGACTAGCTGTCAATATTGCCTGCAATAGCCTAAACTTTATGTACTGAAAACTCTCCACTGCTCCGGCGCACAAACTAACTCATTGTTTAAAGCCCACACGTTTGGTCTCTGGCATCAGTCAGCAAATAACCGGGCCATGTGTTGCATCACTGTGGTAAAGACCTCAGCCGAAAGGGCAGTGGATGTCACCACATCCGACAGAGCCAAAGAGGACTCTGAGGATGGAACAGACCACAAGAGAAGAGGACAACATGACTCCGGACTGCAGAGGTTGGCACCGTCAGAAAGAGCATTGCAAGCAGCCCCGGAGGACTTAGTAGAAAGAGAACTGGGGCATCCAGAACAGCGGGACTTTCCCTTCGGTTTCTAGAATCAGACATCTTCCAACTACATGATGGTAAGGCTATGAATAGGCTCAAGGTAGGAGACAAGGTCTTAGGTACTCAGAAAACTCGGACAGCTGGTAACAGGTGAGGTTTGGATGGCTGGAGGTGATCAAAGTGACTCAAGGTGGGTAGTAGGAATGGATCAAAGATTCAAGTTCCATGCGACTCTTGCAAGCAGAAGCTTCAGGTAGATGATTCCTCAATGCTTTCCATTTCTAGAATCAGACAACTGGCAACTGCGTGATAGTAAGCCTACTTATAGGCTCAAGGTAGGAGACAAGATCTCAGGTACTCACAAAACCCGGACAGCTGGTAACAGGTGGGGATTGGATGGCCAGAGGTGAACACAGTTACTCAAGGTGGGTAGTAGGAATGGATTAAAGATTAAAGTTCCACATGGCTCCTGCAAGAAGAAGCAGCAGGTAGATGCTCCTTCAATGCTTTCTATTTCTAGAATCAGACAACTTGCAACTGTGTGATGGCAAGGCTATGTATAAGCTGAAGGTAGGATGCAAGGTCTCAGGTACTCACAAAACTCGGACAGCTGGCAACAGGTTAAGACTGGATGGCTGGAGACCAAAGTGACTCAAGGTGGGTAGTAGGAACGGATTGAAGATTAAAGTCAATGATGTAGCTCCTGCGTCTCTGCCTGACCCCCAACTCACTATGTGAATCTGCAGAGACAGGCAATGGCAGCGCCTCTGGACCTGGAAAATGTTCCACAGGTAAATGTTACCAGAACGGAGTTTGGAAAGCGCCCTTTGTGGAACCCACTGCCCAAAGGTCACTTTTAGGCTATTCTCACAACATCCAGTCTAGTGTGCTCTGGATGCAATACTCCAACAGTCAGGCTGAGGAGGACCCTGCCAGATAACTGCAATAGAAGGGCAGAGCTCCAGCAGAGATGTAGTGAAGAATTATGATTGAAGGGAGAAAGATAGAAAAGAAATTTTCATTTTATTACTTCATTGCTGTGCTGTATGTGTATAGGCCAATGCCTTGGCTGGCGCTCATGCAGAAAGTTTCTTGGGCAAACTCACCGGCCCAAGTGGCTCCGTCGGCTAACGAAGGGGGGAGAAGTCCGGTGACGTCACGGACATGGACGTCACCGGACTCCTCCACCTTCCCTTCGTTAGCCGTCACGGATATCGACGTCACCGGACTCCTCCCCCCTTCCCTTCGTTAGCCGACACGTACATCGACGTCACCGGACTCCTCCCCCCTTCCCTGCGTTAGCCGATGGGAGTCACTTGGGGAAGGGGGAAGGAGTCCGGGGACGTCGATGTCCGTGACGTCACTGGATCGCCGACAGGACTCCCGGAAGCCGGCGGAGAGGCGAGTGTTTTCATTAGCGATCAAAATTATTTTAATCGATCAAAAAGTTTAACGATTAAATCGAGAAATTAATCTTTAATTTCCACAGCCCTAAAAATTTAAAAAAATCTAAGAATTTTTAACACAGAAGAGTGAAGAAAGACATCCCATCCTCCTAAGACACTAGATGTATGCTAGCAGCATGAGGGGTTATTCTGGGCTGGCCTACAGTTCTTTTTTGTTTGGCAATGTCCAAGCCTACTGTTGGCAGCAGTATAACCCAAACATTTAAAGCTTCCTGTGTCAAGGGGTTCAGTGACATCATTTTAATGTTTACCTTATTTTTGAAGTGCCCATCACATTACTTCATTACATACTGTACATGAATCTGTAGATTCTCCTTCCGGTGCCCAATGGTGTATCATGGCAATCATAAACAAAAAATGTGTTCGGGCTAGCTACATAGCGTAGACAGTCCAAGGGTTAACTAAAGATGGGGACTTGACCAAATGTAAAGTATTTCAAGAAAAAAAAATAAAAAAAAAAAAAAGACAGGCAACACCTTCTTAGCAATACATTAAAAACAGTGTAAACAACCTTTTTCTATACAGACATATGTCAAGATCACATCAAAAGCAATTTTTCAGTGAGGTTCCGGATAGGGAATGTTAACCCTATCTGTTTGACAACAGACACTTACTTTCCCAAACAGGAGGGATCCTAGGGCACTATGTCTATGACCTACAACATAGGCGATATAAAAACCGCAAAGGGTTAATATTCCCTATCCGGAACCCAATTGAAAAATTGCTTTTGATGTGATCGTGACATATGTGTGTATAGAAACAAGGTCTGAATATCCGATTTAACCATTTATGCATAACAGTCAGTACATGTTGTTTACACTGTTTTTAATGTATTCCTAAGAAGGTGTTGGCTGTCTTTTTTGTACGAAATTAAAATTATTTTTCTTGAAATACTTTAAATTTGGTCAAGTCCCCATCTTTAGTTAACCCTTGGACTGTCTACGCTATGTAGCTAGCCCGAACACATTTTTTGTTTATGCCTGCTGCTGGTTACCGATGTGGTAGACTGACCTTCTAAAAGGGGAATACCTAGAGCTTGATATCTCCAGGAGGAAAACAACCCTAATCGCTTGCTATGTATCATGGCAATCACTCATAGCTACTAAGCAGTAAGTGCCCAGACTGCATTGTTTTCAGTCAGTCACACCTGACTGGTAGACTGGGCATAAATGGACTGATGTCTCGCAGGAACAGTTGGGAAAACTGCCGTCTGTTTGCAGTGCTGTTTGCATGTGACCCATTGCAATGAAGTAATCCATCTGTGGTTAACCGCTCCCTAAGGCCTTGTACACACTTCTTTAACTTGTATAAGAGGACTGTGTACAGTAAGCTTTCACCAGGCATTCACAAAGCTTCTGGTTCTCACTTTAAACACGGCGCAAACAAACTTTGGCAGGCTTTCAACAAGTGTCAAGTATTGCTGAAGCTTGTAGAAAGTCTGCTGCCAACTGGTTTAAAGTGACGGTACTCCCACTAAGGTCTGTGTCGTCACTCCAAAAACGAAGCTGAAAGATGGTTAAACGATTTTAAGAAAGCTGAAAGGTTTTCAAATGTTTGAAGTACAGCCAGCTTTCACCCAAGCTGAAGCCGATGTGTACTAGGCTTTAGAGGGAAGGACAATCTAGATAGTATAGAGATGATTCCAACAAGCTCCAGAAGTCTTGTTTTCATGCTCAGTCGCTGCGTGTAAAGAATATGAGAATATTTAAAGGTCCACAGCTTCATTTCAAAGTGCATCTACAGCCAATTTTTTGTTTTTATTTTAAAGCTTTGGATTGAGTAGAAGATAGTTAGAGTACTGATGCGGTCAGCTTCCCATGCAAAGTGACAGTATCTCTGCAAAGGGCATTCCCCGATCCCCATATACTCACCTTACCTGTGATCCCCCAAAACTCCCAGCTAAGCCACAGTCAGTGAGAGTTACCAGAACTTCCATGTATGGAGAAGCAAGAGACAGTACCTGGGCCTGGCAGCCAACTGCTAGGTCCAAGAACTATCACATGACCAGGGAAGTGTCGCCCGGCATGTACAGAGAAGGACAGGGGCTGTGTACTGATCACACGCAGCACCTGTCCTTCCCGGGAGCTGCCCAATACGGCCGTGCACGCAGCACGGTGCTGTACGTGCCGGACGATTCTCATGTGAATGAGGCCTAAAGGGTGATAGACCGCAGAAGGATCCTATGGCTCCGCTGCCCTCAGTACCCTTAATGCAGTGAATGCAGTAAGGTAAAAAACGACCAGCCTTTAATATGTTATCATTTGTCTTTGCGCATATTAGAATAAAGGCCGCAGCAGGTTTCTGAGCTGTACTTTCTGAACCGCAGGTCCTGATCCCGTGCCAAGTGAGGCAAAGGGTTAATCTCTATAAATCAGACTTGACTTCGATTTCACATTTTTGTTTTTTTTTTACCTCCTCAAATACTTTAATTATTTGTTTTGGATGGAACGTTTTCTCTTTAGAAAGGGTCAGGAATAACATTTAGACTGTGTTTGCACGAGACTTGTCCTTCAAGAGGAAACGAGTTTATTTAAAGATCACGCAGCGGTCACGGCTTACAGCCGCCCCGGGGTAAGGAAAAAAAACAGAAGGTTTCAGATGATTGTGCGAGCCGCAAGCAGGGCTAGGAGCGGCAGCCATGTGTAAATAAGTCAGAGGGTGCTGAAAGAAGCCGTCCGAGCAGGGAATGAAAGGCTTTTGGCACGGGGCGCCCTTTACAGTAGCCTAAAACCTTTTGGTATGTAAATATCGCAGCGAGCGGCCTGACAGGGCAGATTAGGTGCGATCTGATTACACAGGTTTTAAACACTGACTTCGAAACCGCAAACTCCATTCAGGGGTTCCGCTGTGTGAACTTTATTGTTTGCTTTGGCAGGGCCCGTGTTTGTTGAAGGATTTTGCTGGATGGCGGGATTTCGACACAAAAGGAACCGGGCCTGAGGTTGGCAGCTTGAAGCACCGGTGTGCGCGCGGAGAGAGGCGAGAACGCTTGCGCTCGTCACTGGAGGTGCCCATAGAAAGCGTAGAAAGGAAGAGAATTCCTAAAACTCAGGAGAGGCGATGCCCACTCAATCCCAACCTGCCGAGATCTGCCCTCCGTTATCAGTGCACACGCAATATATTTGTACTGCGCCATGGCAGATGAAAGCATCTGGTCCTCTCAGCAAGAGTTTTTGCACAATTGGCAAATGTTTGTGCAATAGAAAGAGCCTCCGACGTCCATGTTATCGACATTTGGAAGTTGATAAATGGCTGAAGATCCCACACTGTGCTCCAAATTAAGAACATTGCCTGTAATTAATGGATGGTCTATGGCCATAAAGGATGCTATAAAAACAAGCTGTGCGCCAGAATTTAAAGCCCAAATATGAATTCCCCCCGCCCCCCCCCCCGACTGCTCCCTTGCACCCCTCTCTAACTGACCGCAGGCATTACAAAGAAAAAAAAAACCCTATCTAAATGCCCTTTTTACTCACCATAAGCCGTGGTCATGTGACGTTCCAGTCCCAAGTCTTCTCTCTTAAGTCGGGCAATATGGATGCACCTATACCGGTTTTTCAGTATCGAGTAACGAGTACCGATATGTTTCTTTCGCTACTCGCCGATACCAGTGCTTTCACTGGCATGGAGCCGGCTCCCCGGGCAATCAGGAAGCCAGGTGGCGGTTAATGACATGCTTCATGTTGTTTGGCCGGCTTCCAAGCCAATCAGCATGGAGCCGGCTTCCCGGCCAATCAGGAAGCCAGGCGGCAAGTAATGACCCACCTCCCGGCTTCCTGATTGGCCAGGAAGCCGGCTTTCCAGCCAATCAGCATCGAGCCAGCTTCCCAGCCAACCAGCAAGGAGCTGGTGCAACCAGCCTCTCTCCCCCTCCACTGCAGCGGTCTAAGGTCCCCGAGTCATCACATTCTATACGCAGTGTATAGGACGTGAGGACGCAGAGGGACATACCACCAGGAAGTTTGGATCACAGCGATTCCCTGAGTGCCACCAACACAGAGACAAAGAAAATAAAATGTGCGAAAAATCTGCCAGAAAGTCGAACCCTTCCCCACTGTAAATTGAATAGAAAGATATGACTGCAGCTCCACTTTAGGCGGAAGGCCAGCAATAAAGACGCAATGAATATGAAGCTGTGTGTGTTGAGGGAGACAAAAGCTGACTGGCTGTAAAGAAAAGTTGAATACTCAATCCACAAAATTGTCAGCTCAACAGTGACTGCAGCCAATCAGCTTCACTCACTGTTTGGGCATTCTGACAATGGATGGTGCCGGCTGTCAGAGGAGAATAGCCCGGCAAGAGGGGGCTCCTCCCTTCATCATGTTTAGTGCGGATGGAGGAATCTGTGCAATTTCTATCTGTTAGAAATGTATTCGTGTATGGGCAACTTAAGGAATTCAATCTTAAAAATACATTCAAGCCCCCCAACTATTAACAAAAATGTCTCTTATTTGTGTATCACTCGGCTGTAGATCCTCCAATCATCTCTGAATTGGTGCTGACACTGTCCTTCCTTCTGGAGGGGGGCTACTTCTGTTCCCCATGGTCCCCGGGTGTGTTGTAAAGTAGTCACCGCTGCAAGCTCACCCCCCTGATGGACTACAATCTCAATATAAACTAGTAAACTAAACATGAGTTTGTAGTACATCAGGGGAGCGAGCTTGGAGCGGTGGCTACATTACAACACACACAGGGACCATGGGGAACACAAGTAGCCCCCCTCCAGAAGGAGGACAGTGTCAGCACCAATTCAGAGATGATTTGAAGGTCTACAGCCGAGTGATACACAAATAAGATGCACCAATACCGTTTTTTTGGAATCAAGTAAAAGTACCGATATTCTTTTTTTAGGTACTCGACGAAACCGAGTAGCGGTGCCGTGTGCCCAGATTATCAGGAAGTCGGGCGGCGGATCATGACATGTCGCCCAGCTTCCTGATGAGGTGCCATCCGGCTTCCTGATTGGTAAGGAAGCCAGGCTGCCTAGCAACAAGTGAAGCCGGCTTCCTAGCTAATCAGGAAGCTGGGTGCCACATCATGACCCACCTCCCTGATTGGCTAGGAAGCTGGCTTCACCTGTTGCTAGGCATCATGGCTTCCAGACCAATCAGAAAGCCGGGATGCGAGTCATGACCAGCTCCCTGATTGGTTAGGAAGCCAGGATGCCTAGCAACAAGTGAAGTTGGCTTCCTGGCCAATCAGGAAGCTGGGAGGCGGGTCATAACCCAGCGCCCGGCTTCCTGATTGGAAAGGAAGCCGGCTCCATGCTCCCTCGGCACTTGCGGTCAGAGGGAGATGTCCCTCTGACCGGAAGTTCCGGTATCGGAGGTAAGTATCAGAGCATTTGGGCAAGTACATGTACTCACCCAAATATTCAGTATCGGCGTATCCCTAATAAATGATACATTTTTGTTAATAGTTAAGGTACTTGAATGTATTTTTAAGATTTATTTCCGGAGATTAGTGTCACTTTAAGGTCTACAAGGTCATAAAGAGAGTGACCCGAATACAGGGCACGATTATGTCCCTGGAGAACACCATGCACTTACCTTTTAGTCTTCATCTGCACCTGTAACTTGCTATACATTTCCAAAACTGAAAGTAAAGAAATACAAAAAGTTACAAAAGAACAAAAAACACACAAACACTGCAAAAAAAAACACACAATTCTCAACATCCAAACCAGCAAAAAAAATCCCTCTACAAAGCCTGTAACATGGAGCCAATCAACAGACTGGCTCCATTTACACAGACGCATACAATGTCAACAGGGACTCTCTCTCTGACAAATCTGTATGCGGGGGATTCATAAATGGACCTCAGGATTCTTCTGTGTCTTGGTGCACCTGTATGCAAGGACAATGAGCTTTGCGGTTCTAAAAGCTGAACTCTGGAATTGCCCCCCTCCTGTAATAAAGACCGGTCACTGCTGTTCTCTCCGCTTGTGCAGGGTGACTGGTCTCGTCTCCGCCCCCTCCTGTAATAAAGACCCCTCACTGCTGCTCTCTCTTCTTGTGCAGGGTGACTGGTCTCGTCTTCGCCCCTCCTGTCGTTTCCTGTAGTGGGTGGGGCCTGCTGGGTCCCTCCCACAGCTCTGCTCTCTGCACAAGCTATATAAAGCACAGTGATGATGTCACTTCTATTTTATCAGGTAATATCTTGGCTTCTAAAGGCATGTGGAGGACACAGGTTGTGGCTATTAAAAGATATAATTAAATGAAAGTTTTGTACTCGGAGTTCAGCTTCAAGCACATTTGTGATAAAACAAGGGTCAAGGAAGGGTGCAGGGCAATTTCTGACCACTAGAGGGAGAGCTATATGAAAGGAACTTGTGTTGCACTACTATTCAGCTGCATTGTCTTATACACAGGCCAAGCCGTCCAGCAAAGGTGACAGGACAGACTATAACTGAACAGTTGCAGCAACAGTGACTTTTTTTTTATGTTTAGAAAAGGGTTTGTGTGGACGGATGATTCGTTCCGACGTTTGAATCGCACATAAGACCCATTTGCTTCAATAGTGTAGTATGGATGATGGTTCAGTGGCTGATTGATCTGCATTCCACTGTGTTGTGTATTACATTTAATTTGGAAGCAGCCTGGCCCATTGAGATGCAGCCCCTCCTTTGTCACGGCAGAGAGCCGTGACTGGATTGAGAGGTGAGCGAACGCCGGTATGTGTTCGCTCACCTCCCGATCTCATTGTCTCATTGTCACAGGTCGGCTAGAACTATGAGGTGAGTGAAAAGCACTCACCTCATAGTTCTCCTTTAATAAAAAGGACTCCCTGAGCACCTACCAGGTAGACATAGGTTGAGCGTGTCCACTGTGGCAGCGATGTTCCTCTGCTGAACCCGACACTGCTGAAGATCTTTCATTGTGGACAATAACTAGAGGAAAAGAATGAAAGAATATATATTATAGAGGACAGGTCAATGTCACCAGTACTATATACATTATACTGGAATTTAAATGTAAATTCCACATTGTGGGTAAATGTCATCAAGCTCTGTATACACCGATCAGCCATAACATTCTGACCACTGAGAAGTCAAGGGAATAACATTGATTATCTGGCTACAATGGCACCTGGAAGTGGGGGGTTTATTACAGTTGCACCTGGAACATTTTGTCCCTGAAGTTACATAGTTACATAGTATTTTAGGTTGAGTAAGACATTAGTCCATCAAGTCCAACCTATTAGGATGTCGTTTTTAGGAGTACTTGTACCCCTGTATATTACTAAACAAGTTGATGTTTTGGAAGCAGAAAAAATGGGCAAGTGAAAGGATTTGAGCAACTTTGAAAAGAGCCAGATAGACACATACTTTACTTTGACATGCACCACCTAACTAAACATTGTTGACCATGTACCCCTTCATGGAAATGGTATTCCCCTATGACAATGGCTTCTTTCAGCCGGATAATGCGCCCTGACACACTGCTAAAATGGTTCAAGAATTGTTTGAGGAACACAACAATGAATCTGAGGTATTGACTTGGCCTCCAAATTCTCCAGATCACAATCCAATTGAGCATCTGTGGGATGTGCTGGAAAAACAAGTCCGATCCATGGAGGCCGATCACCTCACAACTTACAGGACTTAAAGGATCTGCTACTGACGGCTTGGTGCCAGATACCACAGCGTACCTTCAGAGGTCTAGTGAAGTCCATACCTCGATGGGTCAGGAAAAAGGGGACCTACTCAATATTAGGTGGGTGGTCATCATGTTATGGCTGATCAGTGTACGTTATACATGACTTCCACATTGGGGTATATGTCACCGGTGCACCACACTGTTACACTACTGCATAATAAAACACTTAGTTTAGTCTACTATACTTGAGAATAATTTGGGTTAATCTCTATGTATGCATGTAGATAGGAACCTTAGACAGTAAGCTCCTTGAGGGCAAAGACTGATGTGAATGTGCAGTATGTAAAACACTGCACAAATTGTTGGCTCTATATAAATACCTGTAATAAATAAATATACAAGTGGGTTGGATGAACAACCAACAAATCCCTGAATGGGCACAGTCACAAAGCCTCTAAGTGGCTGAGGTAGCGCTGGAATCTCAGACCCTCACACCCCTGGAAGGGTAGCCGGAAAAACTAAACTCGGCAACCCTGAGGTGCCCTTTCCAATGGCCAAACACCCCACTGTAGCAAATCCACCAATCACAAAGTGAGAATACCTCGGCTCCGTCCACCTGCAGTCGTCTGTTAGTGTCCGTTACTTGGTTCTGAAAAAGAAAAATTACATTTGGAATGATCAGCAGACTCACAATACAGACAACCCCAAAAGCATAAAACTGCACCATTTATGAACTAGTATACACCCCTCCCAAGCCCCTTAAATGAAAGCCGAGCAGGAGCTCATCCTACGACCCGACATATAAGTGAAATCCAAAGCAAGAAAGCCAATGGCACTCCATTGGAAAGTCAACGCAAGTAAAGCTTTATTGTTCCAGGCAAACAAACAGGGGCTTCATCTCTCTACAACAATAAAGCTATGCTTGCCTTGGATCTTAACGGTGTAGCAACTTGAGTGAACTACACTATTTCAAGAGAACCCGTCTCAAATGTAAACCTGTAAAGGCAACTTATGTTAACACAGGCGCACAGGGAAACCTAAAAATTGAAATTAAGGGAAAAACAGAAAGTATCTACACAGATGGAGTACATGGTATAGTTGGGGGAGGTACATTAGAGTCTTCTGCTGCAGAGACTGATGTGACTGACTCAGTGTTATCTATACAGCACTAAGGAATATGTCAGAGCTATATAAATGTAATAATAATAAGTGTGTAACTGTGGGGAGACATCTGCGGCGTCTCAGTATACCGTGAGCTACAGCGAGCTGTATACTGAGCCTAGGGTGACGGGAGGACGCTAGTTTGTGTCCTCCCGTTACCCTAAGGAGAACTATGGGGAAAAGACTTAACCCCATAGTTCTCCTTTAAAGTGTAAGTTCCTTTGGTGCAGAGACAGATGTGACTTGCTCAGTGTTCTTTGTACAGCACTGCAGTATATGTCAGAGTTATATAAATGTATATTAATAATATTGTGTAAGCTTCTGTGGTGAAGAGAGTTCTCTGTCAGGCGTTGCGGAATAAGTAAGAGCTATGTAAAACATAGAGTAATAGTGTGCGACTGTGGTGGACATTAGAGTGTAACCTCCTCCGGTGCAGAGACCGATGTCAAAGGCTCAATGTTCTCTGTACAGCACTGCGGTATATGTCAGAGGTTTATAAATGTATAATAATAGTGTGTGACTGTGGGGGGACATTAGCGTGTAAGCTCCTCTCGTGCACAGACCGATATGAATGGTTCAGTGTTCCCTGCACAGCACTGCGGTATATGTCAGAGCTATAGCAATGTATAATAATAACAGTGTGACTGGGGGGGGGCATTAGAGTGTAAGCTCCTCTGGTGAAGAGACTGATGTGAGTGGCTCAGTCTTCTCTGTCACATGCTGCGGAATATTTGTTATGTAAAATGTATAATAATAGTGTGTGACTGTGGGGGGACATTAGAGTGTAAGCTCCTCTGGTGAAGAGACTGATGTGAAAGCTTCTGCGCACTGACCATGCAAGTTACCGTCTGATTGCTCCAAAAGTATGCAACGTCAGGACCTCCTTACACCTTCCATTAAATTCCTATTCAATCCGGAAGGTTCTTACACTACACAGTTGTTGGTAGATCTAATGGAGATTGTATTGTATGTGGCCAGCACATAATCTGCGAGTGTGGTGGGGGCACGCTGTATATAGAGTCCTCAGTACTGCAGGACATATTCTAAAAATAAATAGATCGCTCTGCATAGACGGCAGCAGCCACTGTTCCCGGGCACTGGAGCTGAATGAAGAGCGTCTCCCAAAAAAGAACCGCAAGATTTCGGAGAACGATCGGCTGCAAAGCTCTCAAACCACGATACGTAAACAGGCTGATTTGACCAGAACACGCCTTAATCCCTCAACACAACAATTACGCTCTACTCCAAATAGACACTCCGAGGACTAAAATAAACAGAAATATCTGAGCCGCAATCTGGATGGTGGACCACAAGACAGTCGGGGTCAGAGGATTCCTCCGCTCCCCCTTTGTAGGGGGGAGGATTCCAGTATGAAGAGGAAAAGGATGTGGATTCTACCAAATTGCTTTTTGCTTGATGATAATGAGCCGCTCTGTAAACTGCCAGCAGCGTCGTCTCACGGATTCGGGTCTAGAGCACGACTGCGGTGTACGGGCAACATCTTGTCCTGGTCTACCATGACACGGGCAATGGCCTGGCAGAAACAACTATGAATAAGCAAGCGGGAGACCACATCTTCTATGGCTCATACACCATATTAACCCCTCTCCACCCAAAATCTGCATATACACATCCCTCAGCATATTTCCCTGGGCTGGGGATATGTTTATAAACGTTCCTTCTTTCAATGCCAGCAAGTCCAGACTTTGCACTACGGATGGGAAAGATTCCATGTTATTTATACCTAAAATAGTTGAGAAATGTGAAGCAATATTAAACCCTGCCCGACAGAGAATAAAATATATGATTCTAGGAATCCATATACACAGCCTGTCCAAAAACAAAGTCACACGCTCTAATATTTCAATGGAGGGCCCTTAGCTTTGATTATGACATGCCTTTGCTACGGTATTGTTTCGATATGCAATGTCACAACTAGGGATGCACCGATACCGGTATCAGTGCCGGCACTGGGCCTTTTCATGAGTATTCATACTTGTGAAAATTCCCCCGACACCCAAAACCGATAATGGCACTTTATTTAAATTGAAGAGGCTGCCGTAAGGTTCCACACTTGCTGGGGACCTCACGACAAGCTTCCTGGGTACCACATGCTGCCTGTTTACAGCGTGGCCTGCACAACTCCCCTCCCAAGACCTTCCACACCTCTCCCGAGACCCTCCCCACCCCTCCTTCGACCCTCCACAGCCTTCCTGAGATCCTCTGCACCCCTCCGGAGACCCTCTGCCCAAGACATCAGGCCAGCACCCCAGAGCAGAGTGGAAGCACAGAGTATGTAGAAAATTCATACACTATTATTCTGGATTGCTGTAATTTGTAGTCCTCTATAGCCAGTGCCATTCTGCATTGCTGTATAACATATTTCTGGGATTTTGTAGTCCTCTATAGCTGATGGTATTATTCTCCATTGCTATATAATGTATTGCTGGGATTTGTACTCCTCTACAGCTGATGGTATTCTTCATTGATGTATAATGTATTGAAGGGAATTGTAGTCCTCCATAGCCAATAGTATTATTCTGCATTGCTGTATAATGTGTTGCTGAGATTTGTACTCCTCTATAGCTGGTGGTATTCTGCCTTGCCGTATAATGCGTTGCTGGGATTTGTACTTCTCTATAGCTGGTGGTATTATTCTGCCTTGCCGTATAATGCGTTGCTGAGATTTGTACTCCTCTATAGCTGATGGTATTATTCTTCCTTGCCGTATAATGTGTTGCTGAGATTTGTAGTCCTCTATAGCTGGTGGTATTCTGCCTTGCCGTATAATGCGTTGCTGAGATTTGTACTCCTCTATAGCTGGTGGTATTCTGCATTGCTGTATAATGTATTGCTAATTGGTATCGGTGAATACTTGAGGAAAAGTATCGGTACTCGTACTTGTTCTAGAAAAGCTGCATTCCTAGTCACAACCTTTATTTCCATCCAGAGTTGCATTAATTTTTTCCCCAAGATCTTGTAGTGATGATGGGAGAGTCGGAGCACGGCGTAAAGTCTTCTCCAGCACATCACAAAGATTCTCAATGGGGTTAAGATCCGGACTCTGTGGTGGCCAATCCCTGTGTGACAATGATGTCTCATGCTCCCTGAACCACATTTTCACAATTTCAGCCCAATAAATCCTGGCATTGTCATCTTGGAATATGCCCAATGTGCCATCAGGGAAGAAAATCTATTGATGAAAAAACCTGGCATTCAGTATATTCAGGTAGGCAGCTGACCTCATATTTTGGGCACATAACATTGCTGGACCTAAACATATTATCCAATGGAAGGCTCTGACCCCTTTGCTTAGCTAAATCCAGGTGGTGACTTTTTTTTTGAACAAGAAGTGTATTTTGAACTAATAGTAAATACAAGTAATTCACCGGCACACACTTGAAGGGTTTTTAAATTACTTTTGAATTACTTTTATTTACTATTAGTGTTTTGCACGGCGCCATCCGTGTGGTCACCTTGGCACCACATATATCTTGTGGTTTTGAGACCGTGGCAGTGCGAATGGGATTTGGACTTTGGTGTATTTTGAACTGTCATGCCACAATCCACCTCAGAGAAATCAGGGTTAGAAATCTGCTTTGGAGCACAAGGAAAAGAAGGTGAGAAACTATGTTCAATGAAGCAGGTGCCACCAAAGCTACTGGTTTGCAATATTCCACCAAGGACCATGGGTGTCACGAAGGTCAAGCAGCGGCCGTGCCTGAAGTTCTGTGCATACAGACTGCCAACAGGAAAGGTCAAACATGCAGCTGTACCCGACGATCTGCAGACGTAGCTCATGGCATTGAATTCTTCTGTCTTGTATGTTTGCGTAAAGGACTGTGCTCGCCAATGCTCGTGCACATGAGTGTAAATAGGCGCGCATGTACATACTGCCTTTGTCACCCAGAGGCCTATTTAAATGTGTGCACCACTGAGGAGAGCTGCTGAGTGGTTGTCAGCAATTGGTACCTGTGACCTGACATGTGTTCCACCTATCTCCGCTTTGACTCAGCTTGCTGTATCCTGATTCGCGGCTGTTGACCCTGGCTTGTACCCCAACATCGCTCTTGCCTATTGTGATTGTACCTCTGCTACTCAGCTGTGTATGATCCCAGCTTGTCCTCCGACCTTGCTTTTGGCTATCAACTTTGACCCTCTTCTGCTCCGTTGAGTCTGATCCTAGCGTGTTCTCTGACCTCGCTGCTTGCATGATGTCTCATTACATCTGCTACTGATTCTGCAGACACACCCCAATGCACCTGGACCTGCTACAGGCATCCGTGCCACTCTTTGTCCTGCAAACTCTGTCCCAACTCCAGGGGGCGGTAGACAGGAGGTGTAAGGGAAACCCTCACACGACTACACCAGGTACAAGACAATGGGATAATAAAGAGTATTATTTGGTGCCGCTTCATAGAAGTAGAGGAGAATTAGTAAACTATGTTTCCTTGCAAAGAAGGATGCTCAGTATGAGGATGACCAATGCTCAAATGAGAAATAATTTATCTGAGGAGACAAAGATGGACAGCTTTGAAAAGCGGACTGTAGGTGTATTAGTGCTACAGACAATTGGAGGCAGGGCTATAAAAGAGTTGGCATAACAGTCTTTGTTCTGTGTGCAGCAGACCTCCTGTAGACGGCAGTAAAATCCTCATGTTATAGATTATTCTATAATCCTGTGTTCCTCATTGGGAGATAAAGAAAACAAGTTTATGCTCTTACATAAAATACAAATCCTCCTTATGGTCCTAATAAAACATTAACATTATTTAGGTATCCAAATTAGTCATAAAAGCATATTGAAAACGCAGTGAATGGGACATTCACCATTCACTGCATGTGAATCAGTAGCAGTCATTTAACAAACATGCACAAGGAAAATACACCTGCAGTCAATGTTTAGTGAAATGTCACATTCACTGCTTTATAAATATGCCTCTAGTTATTGTTAAGTTAGGTGATACATTTTTGCTACGGGCATCTAGGCATCAATGATCTCTGGTCCTAAAGGGGTTTCAATTTAGAAAAAATGAAACGTAAGCCTTGAAATGTACACAGCAATCCTATGAAGTGATTTAGTGTTTCCTGCAGGCACTGCTGTAGTCCATCAGCCACCCTTCTGCCTTTGCCAGCAATCCTGTAATCTGGGAACCCCCTTTTTTGTTTACTTCTTTATAACCTAAAGTGAGAAATTCCCAAAACACACCCACTGCAGGCTCCTTGCAGGAAGCCAGTTTACCAAAACAGAACATGCCGTACTTTTATTACCACATGTTTAACACCATAAGGCCGGTGCTAGAGATAAAAGCCTGAGCGAGATACCGCCTCCACCACCACCACCACCGGTGAGTTGTAACCAACAAGGGGACCGATGAAGGAGATCACAATTAGAAGGCCCAGCTATAATTACATGTAAAACGGCAGACCCAGGAAGACCTACCTTCAGTTTTTCCGCCTCGCCTCTCACTTTCAGCAGCTCTGTGATGGAGTCCACGAATCCCTGGTAGTGAAAATTACACATCTTCTCGATCTCACGGTCATGGTTGCGGATTCGAACTTCCAGCTTCTCCATGAACGTGCTGTGCTCTTCTCCATCGTATACAGATCTGTTAGGGAAGAGGACGAGAGGAAAGTCAGCACACAAGGGCAAGGTTCTGTTACCCAATACAGAATTGTCAGGAAAAAGAACGAGAGAACAGTCACACACAAAGGGGAACTACAGACTCTGCAAACTGATATAGGAGGACAAGAGAAGAGTCGGCACACAAAAGGAACTACAGGGTCTGCGAACTGATACAGGACCTGTCAGGAAAGAGAACAAGAGAAGAGTCAGCACACAAAAGGAACTACAGGGTCCGCCAACTGATATAGAACCTGTCAGGAAAGAGAACAACAGCAACAAGTGGAACTATAGTCTGCCGACTGATAGAGGTTTGTTAGTTAGGAGGACAGGAGAATAATCTGTCAACACACAAGGGGAACTACAAGGTCCGCCAACTGATACAGGACCTGTCAGGAAAGAGAACAAGAGAATAGTCAGCACACAAAAGGAACTACAGGGTCTGCCGGCTGATAGTTTGGAGGGCAAGAGAATAGTCAGCACACAAGGGGATCTACAGGATCTGCGAACTGATACAGCAACTGTCAGGAAAGAGAACAAGAGAATAGTCAGCACACAAGGGGAACTACAGGGTCTGCCGGCTGATAGTTTGGAGGGCAAGAGAATAGTCAGCACACAAGGGGATCTACAGGATCTGCTAGATGGATAGACAATCATCTCCCTTAATCAATGCGGGGGTATCACTTGAAAGAACAATTGGACGACCATCTTGCTGGCTCTTAAAAGAGCCACAAGTGTAAGCCCTCGTTCACACCTGAACGTTTTGTAGCGCGTTCTACGCTCGACGAACGCTCTACAAAACACTCAAACATCTAAATCCCATTGTATTCAATGGGTCTGGTTCACACCTTGGCATATTTCCGCCCGTCCCTAACGCGCTACAAAACTGAAAAGGTACATGTACTACTTTGGGCCGTTTTTGTTGCGCGTTTCCATTGGGATACAGCCAAGTAGCCTTCGGAAACGCTCCCTTTACGGCAAATCGCGGTAAAAAAATGCGCGACAGGCGCGCATATGCAATACGCCTAGGTGTGAACCAGGGCTGTCAAACCAGAAGTCTCTACAATGCACTGCAGTTGTGCCAACAAGCAAACTGAAGTATTTCTATACCCAATTACAATTATTTATATAGCGCCAACATATTCTGCAGCACTGTACAATCGTTTAGACAAGACAAGGAAGAAACACTGACAGGCATTATTGATGTACAGAAACAGTAGGTGAGGAGAATGTTATATTTTAGTCAGGACCCAAAAAAAACAATAAATATTTAAGACAGGTAATTATGGAATGTTGCATATTAGGATTGTGCGTTGCTGTATCCAGGCAGCAGGTGGATCTTTTGGCTCCTTTTTACATTTTCATCTGTCACTTTACTGCCTGTTAGAAAAAGCCCAATCTGTCAAATCAAGTTGAATCTCTCCATCAACTCGGAATAATCTCAGAAGCATCTCAATATGAATGCAAGTGGAATGCACCTGAAAGCACGCTGCTTTTGCCATTGAGACACAGGTCCTTATGCTGACCATATACTTGGATAAAGTGAGCCTTTTATCCATGGCTTTATTTTTCTTTATTTAGGCTAACAATCAAAATTGCAATGGCCATATATACCAAATAACTGCTCTGGCAGCTGAAAGGCATTCTAGACCCAGTTCTAAATGTACTTCCTTCATTGGGTTACTCAAACCTTTGCAACAACTGAAACTAGGGATGCACCGACACTAGTATTGGTATCGATACAGAGTATTTGGGCGAGTACTCGTACTTGCCCAAATGCTCCCGATGCCTATCCTGACACCGGAACTTCCGGTATCAGGAAGTCACCAGAGAGCATGGAGCTGGCCAATCGGGAAGCCGGGGTGCAGGTAATGACTCACCGCCCAGCTTCCTTAATGGCCAGAAAGCCAGCTCCATGCTCCCTCGTTACCTGGTGACGAGGTAGCATGGAGCCAGCTTCCCTGCCAATCAGGAAGATGGCCAGCGTGTAATGACTCGTCGCCCGGCACCTGGTGACGAGGTAGCATGGAGACGGCTTCTCAGCTAATCAGGAAGCCAGACGGTGAGTTATTAAACGTCGCACCGGCTTCACGGGTAAAAAGGAAGCCAGGCGACGAGTCAATACATGCCACCCGGCTTCCTTAATGGGACTTCCTGTATCGGTATTTGGTATCGGCGAGAACCGGAAACAAAATATTGGTACTTGTACTCAATACCGAAAAACCGGTATTGGTGCAACCCTAACTGAAACCATTGTAGAAGATTGCTGCAGTTGAAAGTGCCAAGTGACCTGTATCTGAGTATGTGTAGATGGCCCTTTGCAGCACATCCGCATTTTGTTGGAAGGAAGGAATTGTAATTCAGTTTTCCAAAACCTAGATGAGATCACCCCTATCAGGATCACCAGTTGTTCTCTTAAAGGAGAACTATGAAATGAGTGATTTCCACTCACCTCATACTTCTAGCCAAACTGTGACAATGAGACTGTCACAGGTCGGCTCAGTAGATCGGGAGGTGAGCGAACACATACCGGGTTTGCTCACCTCTCGATCCTGTCACGGCTCTCTGCCATGACAGGGGGAGGGCTGGATTCCCCTCTCCCCGCTCCGATCTGCCAGCGCTGACTGGCGGAACGGATGGGGGAGGGGGCGGGTACAGCTGGCTCTGCCTCTAGATAGGCAGAGCCAGCTGTCACTCACGCAGCTGGGCGGATCCCGACATCCAGGTCGGGATCCGCTCCGGCGTCTCAGTATACCGCGAGCTGTAGCTCGCGGTATACTGAGCTTAGGGTAACGGGAAGACGCTAGTTTGTGTCCTCCCGTTACCCTAAGGAGAACTATGGGGAAAAACACTGACCCCATAGTTCTCCTTTAATAAAAGACTAAAACAACTCCTGAACTGACAGAACATGTTATAGCTTCTATGAGGATTCTAGTGATTGGGCTTCGATCTAGTTTAATATAATCACCGGTTGAGAGTTAGCGCTGCCACCAATACACAAAATCTACATCCGATGGAATAATAAACTTCTCTTTTATCACACACAGCACAGCAACCTTCTACTGCACTATACAACAATGGGATAAAAGTGCCACCTACTGGCAAATCCATACATTCATCTTCCCGTTGCAAATTTCTGTGAGAGAATGAGCGCAATACGGTCAGCAGTACCTCCAAATACACAAAATCCCTACTAATGGAACACTCAAAGTGCTGTTCTTTCCACATTATGATATCTGATGAATATATTCAGGGCCCTGGTACTGTGCTGTGAAAATCTGCTGCTGGCAGTTTAAGTGCCTTGCTGAAAAAGCGTTTTGCAGTGCGTTTCACTACGTGCGACAACACCCAACAAGAAAAATCCCTGTTTTAGATTGTGTTCCCGTTACCCTAAGGAGAACTATGGGGAAAAACACTGACCCCATAGTTCTCCTTTAATAAAAGACTAAAACAACTCCTGAACTGACAGAACATGTTATAGCTTCTATGAGGATTCTAGTGATTGGGCTTCGATCTAGTTTAATATAATCACCGGTTGAGAGTTAGCGCTGCCACCAATACACAAAATCTACATCCGATGGAATAATAAACTTCTCTTTTATCACACACAGCACAGCAACCTTCTACTGCACTATACAACAATGGGATAAAAGTGCCACCTACTGGCAAATCCATACATTCATCTTCCCGTTGCAAATTTCTGTGAGAGAATGAGCGCAATACGGTCAGCAGTACCTCCAAATACACAAAATCCCTACTAATGGAACACTCAAAGTGCTGTTCTTTCCACATTATGATATCTGATGAATATATTCAGGGCCCTGGTACTGTGCTGTGAAAATCTGCTGCTGGCAGTTTAAGTGCCTTGCTGAAAAAGCGTTTTGCAGTGCGTTTCACTACGTGCGACAACACCCAACAAGAAAAATCCCTGTTTTAGATTGTGGCTCGTGAGCTTTATTTTTTTTTAGCCTAATCCAGAATTTTTTAAGCCCACAGACTTCAAATCGGAGTGCCTGTAAATGGGCAAGCCCAGCCCTGAAAAAGAAAGTGGAGGATTCAGGATTGCCATGTCTAGATGTAGAGGCTTTCGTACACATGGTGATGGCCCACCCGAATCTATAGAGATCCCAGAGATTACCATTTAAGACCCTGTTCACTTGGGGTGTTTTGGGATTCCCACAGCAAGAAACTATGCAGGTGCGTAACTAGAAATGGCAGGGCCCCATAGCAAAATTTTGTATGGGGCCCTGTGATTTCTTGTTACCCCCCTTGCAAAGCCCACCTGAGAGTGATCGTGCAAAACCCACCATAGACTCTCTATGGTGGGCTCTGCAGGATCTCAGGTGAGCTGGTCACACCCCTGCACACCTTTTACCTGTCAGCCTGCTGTCAGCCTCCTCCACCGCCTGGCCCCGGCTCTTCCTCTTTACCGGTCGCTGGTGTGCCCCGCCTCCTCCTCCTTCAGCTCCACCTCCGCCAGGCCTGGCCTCCTCCTCCACTGCTGCTGCCGGGCCCCGGCCTCCTCCACAGCAGCTGCTGGCTGTCACTGACTTTGCAGCGGCTGTGAGGAGGAAAGTGCCGCTGCACAGATCACCGACAGGTTGTCAGTGATCTGGAAAGCGGCACGTTCCTCCTCACAGCTGCCAGTGACAGCCCGCAGCCTACGATGCCATAGTGACCCAGGCGGGCCACACGGCATCAGAAGGACTGCTTTATTCCTCATCCTGGACAGGCCTTCCCTGTGCCCCAGGCCACATAGCGGCCGCCTGGGTAGCTATGGCGACAGTTCCCCCACGGAACCTATGGATTCCTGTTACAGAAATCCCAGGTGTCCCTGTTCAGCTGCTGTACCCATTCAAGTAGATAACTGGGTGAGAGCGGCCGCATCTGTCAGCAGTAGTCCATATGTAATCAGAATAGATGATTGTCGTCGGACGCATCTATCCTGCATCCTAGGACATTAATCTATCTCAAACAGCATGTAAT